TATTAATATTAGTCCCAATCATATATACCATTAATTTCTAGGGCAAATGACTATTATGAGCCAATTTTCACCACGAAATATTTACCATATGAATCGTTAGTTTCCATGGGTACGCTTAATAAGAGACAGTGTTCAAAAAACTTAATACCCATCTGTTCACATGTGCAAAGCACCGCTGCTGAAAACATAATTTGGTTTAAATAAAAGGAATACAATAAAATATAATCGCAACCGGAGATAGAAACAGCCGAGAGTAAGACCTTCATTGTTGGAGAACTGTTTGTCTGCAGTCAGACCTGGAAAACGTTAATTCAATTTAACATTCAATTGCCCAATAATTTGTAGAAAGTCAATAAAAATCTTAATACAAAACTACTTATCATTAAAAATCTCGCCAATATGAAATACTGCGGGCCACACTGAGATGTATTTGTTGAGATATGATACCGAATAGTCTGCCAATGCAAGTTATAATTCGCAATGCTCCGATAACATATTATTCGCCCATGCAACAAATGTTACAAAAGGAAAGCTTTTTGCTCAAACTCATACCTTTGGACATATAAACCACAAATCTATTGGCTTAGTCTATCTCCATTCAACATACCAAAAAACTGGTACTTAAAAAATGCTCTAGATTCATAGGTTTGTAATGCGCACTGTGATCTCCATAATGAGGAATGTTCAATTACCAAAATAGAAAAGCCAGATAAAATCTTTTACTTACAAGCTTCAGTAGATTTTCCGAATGATGCTTACGCATAAAAATTACCAACATTCACTAAAATTTCTTGAGGGCGACGGCCACGTAGATAAGTAAATTGACCCCTATATTATGACTTCCATGATTTACGGAGCGATATGATCAACATGTTGCTTTGAATTTGTAAAAAGTAAAAAATCTGCAGCTGTTTGAAGACCTTACGATGCAGTTACTAGCTTTAACAACGAGAGTGAGCATAATAAAAGGTGATGAAATTAGTCGTAATGACTGATTTATACTACGAGATTTCCCGTCGCGTTCCAAACAACTTAAAGAAGAAATAAATGGAATTGAAATTATAGAATTGACGCCTTTTACAACATATACTATAATCAGCTTTAAAAATCATCATGACACATATTTCATTATAAAAAGCTTCCATTAAAGAATTAAGAAAGTCATTAAGAAAACTATAAATTGAATATTAATGGATCCCAGATCCCAGGTCACAGCGGTTTAAGTACCAATGAAAAAGCTGACTTCCATGCACGTGAGGCTCGGTTTGATGGTACGGTTTTGTCCATAAACTACTCCCCCCAACGAAGCTCTCCTGTTAATCAAAAAACTTATCGTAAAAGAATGGAAAGACGAGTATCATGTTTTAGCTAGAGAAAAAAGTGACCGGCTTTTGTACAAAATGTACCCTTTTTTAACACCCACACTTCTACCTAGAGGAAAATTTACAACATGGGAATTTAAGGTTCTTCACCGCCTTATGAGTACTCACACCTACGACAAGGTATGTTTTAAAATGATCAAAGTCTTCTCTACTGATATTTGTGAAGAATGCAATATTACTGAGTCTGCCGAGCACCTTTGTTTTCAGTGCAGAGGTTTGAAAATCTTAGACAGTCTTTCAGCATATTTAGTTTGTATAACAATTTATATGAAATATTTCGTGCTGGTAACTTTAGGCATTTGACGCACTGACTGCCTTTATCAAATCAGCTGATTTTTCGTTCTAATTTTACATTCATAATTTGGTTTACAATCACGAATCCCCTATACTTTTTTCTTTTTTCGGCATTTCTAGGCGGAGCTTTGACTGTACAGTACCAAGTACGGTGTTTTATGGGTTGACAGCAGAACAGAGCTTCTCATATTGAACACTCTGTCACATCAGTCTCTCAAAATTATCAACAATGGCTTCCAACTACGTTACTGGATTGTGGATCTAATTTTAACTTAACTGGTCCAATCCATTTCCCAACAAATCAAAAACAAAAGAATATTAATGAAACCCAGCAAAGCTTTTGGGTACTAGGGGTATGTACTTAATTTTATTATCGCCGCCACCAAATCTATCGTGCTATTAGTTGTACTGGTGTCACCGGATGTATTAATGCCTTCCGCAAGTCTTATCAGCTATACTGGAACTGGACTGTTTTTTGTGTGATTTTTATGTATTTTAGTTTTAAAATATTTATGAACTATTGAGGCATACCTGTATGAATCGAAAGCGATAATAATAGCAATTTCAATTGGTACATATGAGGAACTACATAAGAAAATCCTTTATTTAGTATTTAGGAAATGCAAAGGGCATTTTCTGTCAACAAAATTGAGGGGATATATGGTTGTCTTAGCAACCCGAAAGATATTGTCTAAATGTGTAAAGAAGTTCCTGAAGAAAACTTCATTGTGAAAAGCTGCACGTCCCGAAAAGTTTGGAATATAAGATAGAAGTTGTGGTAAGTTAATTGCAGCCCACTAGCTGAATTCTCTGTGTCACCAAGATGTGAACGGGCTGTAATTCCCAACCATTTTCTGGCGAGATTGCCTAAATCAGTTTGTGTTTATCTCCATGTATGTATCTCATTACGTACATATGTCTTCGAAACCAATAGAGAAACCTGTGGGTAATATCACCAAGCTTGAAATGCTGTGCAAAGAACATGTGGGAGGCGAAGTGTTTTCCTCAGTCAATTCGTAATTACAAATTATTTCAACTGCTTATCCAATGCAAGGAAACCCTTAGCACTAAAGTGTGTACGGCAGCGAATTGCCGTTCAGACGGAATAAAAGAGTAACGGGCTGTTCAGTTTCAAAACTAGACGTTCTGGTGTACGATGCTTCGAAAAATTTACGTTTGGGGTAATGTTGATAAAACCCCCGTAATTAGGGGAGAAAGGGTAAGGATGAAACGTTTATGTATTCTCGTATACGAGGAGCAAAGTAAGCGGCTAACGACGTGTCAAAAATGGCGAGCAGGATAAAGGGAAGAGAGAAAAGACATCATATAGCAATTATAGTGATCCTAACCTTCGAAGGTATGCATAAAATCTCATTAACGCTACTTATTTGACGTACTACTGTCAGTCTAACACCATTTAGTTTCAATGTTATTAGCCTTTAGGTGGAAAAGCTATTACATTTTATTATTTATTATATTATTATAGGTTAATTAGTCTCAGGTATAAGACATATGAGTAATTACATTCGTTAAAATTTTTGTTTCGAACGTGTTATTCTTCTTCATGAATCAACAAAGGATTTGGGTGCTTGCTTTTTTTAAGGCAGTCCGCTTTAAAAAATAGAAATACTTCTTGTATGTAGTTGGTCGTCATGACTCTTAGTAGTTGTTTTGAATGCTATTCTCCAAATTGTTTTTGTGGCATAAATTCATGCCGGTCATAAGTGAATCACTTGAAGACAAGCTTCTCAAAAGGGAAGCAAACATAGTGAACTCGAAAAATCTTGATGAATAAATAAAATTGAACTACAGTAACTTGCTCTATCACTTTTATACGGTGAACGACTTAGTCACAATAGTATATATTCTTGATCAGCATGAAACGCTGCATTGATTTAGCTTTTTTTCGAACCTGGCAGCCTACGAAGCTATTATAACTTTAAAATATTTCCAGGAACATCGAACGCGGCCTTAATATTTTTGCATTCACCTTATTAGCTTTGTCCTTTAATAAATATGTCCAGAATTAATCTTTTTAGTTTGTTACCACGTGTGTAATTATATCTTGATTTTAAGCATAAATTTGATTTTAATTAAAAACTGCCCTTATTTTGCTGTCATAGCAGCAGAGAAATTTATCTGCATACTTTGTACAACTAGCACCCGCCCCTGTGCGACTAGTTTCTCGTTTCGCTCGCTGCTACGAGGTGCTTTAACAGAAACCTGTAGAACACATGTAGTTTTCCACCCAAAAATCTTAGAAGTGCTACAGTGCTAATCAGAATAATTGATCAGAAAATTTAGTTCTATAAAATTCCGTGGTCGAAATAGCCACGAAATTTTTCCTTCATCTACTATGCATAAAATTATATATATACGATATTTAGGTTGCCTTGAACGTTAACACGTGATCTTTTCTTTGACTAAAATTCCAATTTTCCCCTACTCTTCGAAACCATTAGGTGATCAATTATGAGATGACACAATGGTCAGTCAGAGTCATTGATTAAATCGTCATTAGTATTGACTGATCCATCAAAGCAAGGAGCATCTTAAAGGCAATCAAAGAAATTTACGAAGTCACTTCGGTTACTGCATTTATTCCTTTCATTACTTTAATTTATTCCCTGCCTTCATTGTTATTCAACAAAATCGGGTGGTGAATATTAAAAAACTTGGGTCAAAGCGAATGATATTCAATTTTCCTTTAGAACAGATGGTTTTTTTTGGACGCATTTAGTTTAATTTCAATTTATTTGTTATAAACAAGGAAAAAGAGGCAGTTAATCATAGGAATTGACCCAAATCAATCGTAATCCCCAGGGTGAAAAATTCCCACACTTCTCCAAAATTTGAACTTGAAATGCTAAACTTGTGGTCATTTTAAAGTCTTTAATGCGCCAATTGTGTTCAGCGTCTTAATTATCCTTATTTTTTTCGTTCTTCCAGCTCAACTAACTATATCCGTATATTCATACCTATGTGTAAATAATATATATATATATATATATATGTATTCACATAATTATGTATATATATATTTAGTTCAATAATAACTAACAGAGATGTGTGCAAATATACACATTTATGCAGCATGTATTTATGTATACATATATATATACTGGTTCTTATTGAACTAAAAGTTAGATTAAGTGAACATATTACGGTAGGTTATTAACATTTTATTAAAAAATCGCACTCTCACACAGATATAATCCGTAACCACATCACGCTCATTCACATACTTACACGTACAAGCAAACAAAAATTTAATAAAATATATTAAAATTTATTTATTACTTAAAATAATAATTGGAACCAAACCTGTTATTGCTATTTTAGCTGACCATTTGCTGGTGCCATCCAAAACGCTTTTTTCGACCGCCCTCATGTGTCCTATATGTGATTTATCATCAATGTTGAATACAGCTCTAAAGAAAATATTTGGTAATTGGGAACATGAAAAAACAACATCGCACTTGCATATGCAATATATTAAATACACAGTATGTTATCGTTGTTGTTTGATGCTATAAAAGTATATAGAAATTAGTCCACCGAGTAATCTTCATAAGTACTTGTCATTGCAGTATAATCAGCGACATTTAATTTAGAGGATTGTGACTCTCACCTACCCACCACCAAGTTTTTACACTATATAAATAATCACGTGCATTCATGATTTGTAAATTGTCAAGTTGCTTTGACATACTAAACAATGAAAAATACGTTAACTGATTTTCTTGCACATAAAGTAACACATTCAAATTGTCATTGTATTGTTGCATTAAAAAGTGAATCATCGCTCTCTTTAACGCTCTTTCAAACAATTTAACAACAAACTTTGGGACGTTTACAAAATCCTTGATTTTACTCCAAAAATACCTTTTAATCCACGTTGTGCTATATCTTCGAATAATTTATTTTTTCAATTAAAATTTTTAAACAATTTTTGAATATTTCACAAACTTAAATACCAAATATTTTCCAAACATTCCTGCAGCCTGCACTGTAGTGAATTAGTACTGAGTCTGAAATCATACAGAAAGTTGGAAGAATAGCAACTTTTTATCATCCACGTTCTGAAGCCATAACAAATGATAGGATCTGTTGCACTACAAAACCTTGTTCATATATTCGTTTAAAATTAGAATTAGCAGAAATTACATTCAACAATTTATCATTGTGGAAAATTATTAGAATCAGGATTAACATATCGCTTATCTTCCTATTCAATGCTTCTATGCCGACCACAATAAATATATTTGCAACGCGTACACGTCTAAGAGACCGCTTAAAGTATTTTTATTCTTAATAAGACTGAATAAAGATAAAATCACGACATGGAAAATTAATCAAGAAAAGCGAAGGTGATCTTAAAATTTTTCCCACCTTTAAAGGTAAAAATATCGAAATCCAATTTCGATCGGTTTTCGTTTTCAATAATTAGACTCTCTCGCGGATTCCCAATCTTCTAGAAAGTCACGCAATTCCCTAATTTACCATTAATACTCTACGGAGCAGCAGCAGTTCGTTTTTGAATTCTTCCCAATTTATGTTGTTTCATAATTTCATGCATTTGCACAAATTTAATATATCCTTGGGCCAAAAGTGGCATAAAAAAGAGCATAAAAATGATAATAAGTATCTCATAGTCAACATATTTTTCCCTTTTTATAGGGGTTATATATTATGTTATATATATATATACGTATGATTTATATTATGCTTGCTTTATCTGACGTGTATATATTTCCTACAATATCATCGATGGCTTCCAAATATATATATTTTTTTGATCAATATAATATAATAAATAAGCCTGCTCGAATTTGTTTAGATGTTTTAGGAGTGATGATCCGTCCGCATAACTTGCTGTACAGAGATCATATACATAAGTACGCTAAATCCATTATCAACACAAAGCGAACACGTTTCATTTTCAAGTGACACATTTTAAGATTTATCGTTTTAAAAGAACATATAATTTTTTACTTCACAAATATGGTTTATACGCGTAATATTACATAATACATAAATACACAATATGTCATAATGGAATAATAAATATCATATAGTAAACGTACAGACAAGTAATCTTACATATGTAGTAGTTTTGACTTATGTGCTACATACGTCGTATAAGGCAAAGCAAATTATATTCTCCCTAGTTTCCCATATCGACCCCAGCTGAAAATAAGTTGTTAAGAAATGTTAATGTTGGTATGTCAACGTGCGTGAAACCTACAACTACGGTATCGTGTTCGAGCACTAAATTGTGACTCGGATATGCTTAATAAGAGAGAAGTTATAATTAACTTGGATCTCTTGATGTACCGCTAATTTCGACTATATCGAAAGGGCGGAAATGTCAATAAATTTTTAATTATAGTTCTGCTGCAAGTTATACGGAGGTCACTTAGCACTAAATGCACTTACGCAGACACAGCAAAGGTACTTATGTTATGTGATATTGACCAAAAACCTACATTTTAACCTTTGTGTTTATCTTTGGTTTTCGTATGAATATATCTAATTGATTGCGTTAAATTTTAAATTGCACTCAATTTTTCGGCATGATAAAGGCATTAGAATGTATTGATTTTTTTGTTGAGCATTGTGAATATAAAACACTCATGAAAGTAGGCTTTGTTTACCAATCTTTACGAACAAAATGCAGTATCGAAAATGAATACTTAAATAGAAAAAAGGCTCAGAATGATTTTGTTCTCTCTGCTTTGACTCGTGCAACAAATCTTTCTGTGTATTACATCAGGAACTGGAACATGGTACCTTAATTATCGAAAAAAAATGCTGCTAGTTTTTTCCACTTGAACTTGTAAGTATAACAAGGCCATGAGGAAAGCAAGCAGCGTAAGATGAGAATAGCAATCACACTCTTCTTAGTCGTTTTTTTATTATTATATCCGTGCTCCTTTCTTCTTCTACTTTCTCCCCAAGTAATAAAAAATTACGTGCGCATTTTCTTTTCCAGAGATTACTATGAGAGATCTCAGGAAATTGTATAGCAGTTGTTAAAAATAAATCGAAGTGAGGTTTAACTTGAAATATAAGAGATAGATAGTGACAGTGGCGGTGGTGGTGGTGTTCTTGGTGGCAGTGAGAGGGAGATGATGAGAATTTATTTGTGTTCATAATTGATTGCTGATGGTAGACTGGATATTATAAAATATCGATTTGACTGTCTTACCGTATCAGTTCGAATATTTCCGGTTTATCGCGCTCACGTTGTTTCATGCGTTCTTCCATCGCTTTTATAATCGAAATGGCTTTGTCCTCTGCACCGTGCTTCGTACTCTTTTCAGCTGCTCCTATTTAATAAGAAGCAAAGTAGACTGCTAAGCAATACGGAAATCGTTTTAAAAAATTATATATCAAGCTTACTTTGTAGGCAATCGGCATTAAGTAAATCCTTGCATTTCTCGTGACACTTAACACCGCATTCAGTGCAACGAACTCCTTGTCGTGCTATACCCCATAAAAGACCTTCACATTCATAACAATAAGTCGGTGACGTCGCAGTCCATAAAACAAAATTATGCGGTGTCGTTGAAGATATTGGATATATTAAAGCTTGCAATGCCTTACGGTATACATGAGTTTTCTTTTATGAAGTATAGAAAAGGTAAAATAATTAAGCGAATTGGAATGAATCGTAGCCGTTTGGCATTAGTAATTCTGCGTATGCAAAATATTTTATGTAAAACCGTCCACATTTCACTCACCAGCTCTTCATCGTTTAAGGTAGCCCTTGGTACTGCCGATGTTAAGCCAGCATTTCGCTTTGTAGCAGCCATTGTCTAGGAAAGTTTATGCGACTTAGATTTACATTCAAATTGGAAGTCTTTATTTCGTTACATTCATTATCTACACGTACACATCTTTATGTAAATATATTCTATACACATCCGACCATTAAATATTTTAAAACTGAATTTAAGTAAAAGTGAGAAAGCATACTATCAACATGCGTCAATCTAAAAATTTAGTTAACTTAAATTTTATTAAAGGAACGATTATAAAACAAAAAGGGAAAATAATTTCTGGCAGAAAAACAAATAATTAGAAGTTGAATTTATGGTAAGTAACATAATTACGACTCCTTAAATATGCTTGCAAGTATATGTAATAAAATCTTCTTAGTTTAAGAATTTATTTAAAGTATCTTTTGTGAACAATGCCTTTACAATTCTTATAGACTTCTTTTGTATGCAGTAACAAAACAAGAGCAATAAAAATCGGCCGTTAATTAGAAAAATTGCAAATCTATTTTCTGTTTCTTAACTAAAACACGACCAAAAGTGCAAAAAAGAAACAACGCTACCGAAATCGAGTGTTAGACTTGCCCGTAACAAGATACATTTATGTATATATTTTTAGGGAAATTGTAATGAGGTATAATAATATGCAGGAGTAACGATTTAAAGGTCTTTGTCATTTTTGACCAAAATGCAAATACGTCGATATGTGAAATCCGAGAATTTTCAAAAAATAAACAGCGTTCGAAGGAATCGTTAAAACTAAGCTTTAGTTTTTATTTATTAGGAAAAGACCCCGCCACAAATGCTAATAACCGAGACCAAACGATAAAGTACGATAAATCTTATAACAAAAGACTCTTGAAATTAGAATAAAAATATAAGAAAAACAAAACGTTAAATAAAGTAAAAATAAACCAACGGGTTGAATGAAAAACAAAGATCCAAAAAAGATTCGATTTCGCAGTCAAAAATTATTTATATAGCTATATAGTTAGCATGGAAACGTACGAAAAACAACCAAAGCTTCGCA